GGAAGGAAGGAAGGAAGGAAGGAAGGAAGGAAGGAAGGAAGGAAGGAAGGATCGATCTTCATAGCCCAAAGTGTGAGTAATTTAAAATCAGGAGCGAATTTTAGTAGAATTTTTAGTAGAATTTTTGTTTTAAATGTGCTCTCTGGGGCTTTATATCATCACAACAGTGGTTGGGCCGTGCTGGACATCTCTCCTGTGGAATTAACTAAGAAAAAGAGTCTTCCCCATTCATTAAGGCTAATGAATTAAATGGATTAATTAAAATCAAGATTCGCTTCGTAACATTTTGGAATTCGGAGCAGACTGGGAGAGAGAGAGACATATATTCCACCCCACCCAAATATATCTAGGTGAAACTGCCTCTTTCCCGCGTGAGAGGCCTGACTCGACTGGACCTGCTTTTTCGTTTCTTTAAAAACAAAACAAAAAAATAATAATCGATGAACACCAAGGAGGGAACCTCCTTCTCCACTCCTCCTTAACTCCCACCTACCCCCCATCCACCCCATTCCGTTTCTCGGGCTTGAGCCCTTTCCCGCAGCGCCGCCGAGACACCAGCTAACCAAGCGTTTGCCGCTGCTGCCGCTGCTGCTGCGTCCTTTTTTTTTTCTTTTTTCTTTTGAAACGGTCTTGAAGGGAGCCTCAAAGGTCGCCGCTTCGCTTCTTCATCGGACTCTTCGCCAGAAAGAAAACAGCCGGCAGCTCCTCCTTCGGTCCCCTCGAGGCAACAGGCTCGCGGAGAGACCCGCCAAGGGTTCCCAAAGGAGCCAGCGATTCCCGTCCCTGCAAGAGACCTTTCGGGGTGGCTTCGCGCTCGCTGCTTTCCCGCGCAGCAAATAGACTCCTCACCCCACCCCATCCCATCCCCTCCCCCCCGCCCCCGCAGCCGCCCTCGGTCCCCCCCCCCCCCAAAGGGGAATTCCCTGTCTGGATATTAAAGGCAGGTCTTTCGGGAGGCTCGAGGAGCGGGCCCGGGGTCCCTTTTGGAGGCTTCGTTTTCCTTTCTTGACAGGCATTTTTCCCTTCCGGGAAGGTTTGTTTGGGTTGCTTTGATTTTGTCCAATGAAACGCGCGTCTCCCTCTACTCTTGCAAATGCTTCGGGTACTCGGGTCCTTCCCTAAGTGGCGCCCCTGAGATCCTGCACCCCCCCTCCCTCCCTCCAAACCTCCCGAAACAGCCCAGATTCCACGGAGTACCCAGCTTCAGAGTAACCGTGTGTCCTTTGCAAGTAGAAACCTGGATCCTTTGCCCGCAAACTTCTTGGGACCGGCTCTTTATGGTGCCAAATAGTGTGTGTGTGAGTGTGTAGGGGTGTTTCTCGGGTGCACGGTTGCTCCCTGGAAAGTCTTCCTGGAACTGGAGCCCTGTTGGGTTCGGCGCCGTTTCCTGCGTCTTTTGCAGGACTTTCACAGCAAAGGAGCTTCAGGCGACCTTCCAAATTCGTCTGCAGTTATTTTCAGAATCGGTCCAGGCTGGTTCATACAGTCTGGGATCCGCGACTGTTGAAAACATGGGAATCTTAAAGACAAAAACAGACCCCTCTATATGTG